TGCTTTATTTCCCTGTGTGCTTGCTCTAAAGCACTTTGGATCAACTATAGTTTGTCTAAAGCGCTCTATGATAAAATGTGGTTTTATATACTTGTTTTGAGAATTCTTTGAAATGAATAGTACATCTTTTAAACGTGGGTTATTTCATGATCTCGGCCTTGTGTGATTTTAGCTCTATTTTTATTCTTTTTTTTTCCCCTTGTGAAGCACTTTGAAACCTGGTTTTTGAAAGTTATTATTGTTGCTGTTGTTGTGAAAATATTACATCGTCACCCTATTAAAATAATGGCCTAAGTCATTTTTTGACTTAGGCCATTATTTTAATCGGGTGAAAATATGTCTAATGTCTATGATGCAGCTGGATCAACATCATCTACATCATTTTTTAACCAAAATGAACATGTCAGACCAAAGCTGATGACTTTTGCTTCTCCTGACATCTAAAATGGCGTCCTGCATTTACGTCCTGTCTAAAGGTCGTCTTTACAGACTTCTCAGCAAGTCAACTCATGTCTAACAATCTGAATAATAACCAATGAGTGGAAACAAGCAGGAGTTTAGTTCAGAACAGCCAAATAAAAGAGGGGCTGTGAGGATTTTCAAAGTTAATGTGAAATCGGATCATCCTGCATTTTTCATTGGTGTTTGGTCGTTAGAGTAGAGGATAATCAGACATCACATTTAGTTTGTATAATTCAGTTGGCAAAACAATTAATACAAAACAAACTTAAAGGTAATCTACAATGACTTGTATCATTTGGATATTTTTATATCAACTTTTAATCGAGTTTACTCACCTCTGGAATTTCTCGCTGCGACACATTCAGCAGTCAAAGTAAAAGTAAATCAAATCAGATAAGGACAGATTAGGTTACTATAAAAAAAAAAAAAAAAAAAAAAAAAACAGGAAACCAGCAGCCACAGAGTATTTGTAAGAAACCTTTAATAAAAAGCTCAAATATTTCAAAGATATTCAAATTTACAAGTGTTGTCTCATTTGCTAACACCTGTTTTTGTCTTTTATTTCATGGAGTTTAGCGGAGATTGTAATGTTTATGACCTTTTTTTTTATTGGCTCAGAACTCTGTCACTCACAGCAGTCCTGCTCTGATAGTAGTTTGATTGGCTGTAACACAAGGACGATTCTTGATTGGGAAATAACCCACCCCACCTACCTACACACCCACACACACTATAACTAAATCCAAATCAGACATATTCTACACAAGCTGCAACAACAGATATTACAGCTAAACTAGACTTTATGATCCAATGCATTTGCTCAGTTGAATGAACATTTTCCACATGGGCCATTGTTTGTTTTTAAGCTTCTCCTCGGCTTCTTTTCAGCAGTATATGCAGTATCATTGGCTACCTGTACCTTTGGAACTGAATTCTGAAATTTAATGATGACTTTTAAAGCCCTACGTTGCCTCTGAGACATGTTAGTGTTGAACAAGTTGACCAATACATTGAGATCCTCAATATGTGTCTTCTGGTTGTTTCAAATATCAGACCAACATCTAAAGAGGACAGAAAATTCTGATGCTCTGAAACTATAAGAAGATCTGCTGGAGGAGATCAGATCAGCTGGGTCAGTGATCACTCTTAACTCCTCTCTGAAAACACACTCTTGTCTTAGAACCTTTCCTGAACCCAGCTGAATTTGATTTTTTATTTGAATGTATTTTATTTTTTATCTGCACTATAAAGCTCGGGAACCCTTTTACTCTTACGCTTTTAACTTCCCCTTACTGACTCAGGTGTTTTTCCTGAGCTGTTTTATGATTACAAAGGTTATGTTGATGACAAGTGTTAATAATTGATGATGGCAGATAGCTGAGATGGGAATTGTGGAGTCACAAAGTCATCTCCATGCCATGTATTTGTTCTGCTCAGTAACTGAACCAGGTGCCTTCACTAATGAGCTCACCTTCCTGGCTGCTCATTGGAAGCAGCCGGTTCAGTGACAGAGCAGAACAAATATGTGGCATGGAGATGACTTGGTGACTCCACAATTCCCATCTCTGGCAGATAGTATAAATACTGTCACTCTTTCCACAAACTCTATTTCGTTGCTTTGTCACCACTCAGATTTGTCTCCTCTTCATTCCTCTAGCTGTGTTTGTTTCTTTCATTTGCTTTATTTCCCTGTGTGCTTGCTCTAAAGCACTTTGGATCAACTATAGTTTGTCTAAAGCGCTCTATGATAAAATGTGGTTTTATATACTTGTTTTGAGAATTCTTTGAAATAAATAGTACATCTTTAGCTCTATTTTTATTCAATATTTTTTTTCCCTTGTAAAGCATTTTGAAAGTTATTATTGTTGCTGTTGTTGTGAAAATATTACATTGTCTAATGAAAATATGTCTAATCTCTTTGATCCAGCTGGATCAACATCATGTACATCATTTTTTAACCAAAATGAACACGTCAGACCTAAGCTGATGACTTTTGCCTCTCCTGACATCTAAAAAGGTGTCCTGGATTTACGTTCTGTCTGAAGGTCGTCTTTACAGACTTCTCAGCAAGTCAACTAATGTCTAAAAATCTGAATAAATAATCAATGAGTGGAAACAAGCAGGAGTTTAATTCAGAAGAGCCAAGTAAACGAGGGGCAGTGAGGATTTTCGAAGATAATGTGAAATCGGATCATCCTGCATTTTTCATTGGGGTTTGGTCGTTAGAGTAGAGGATAATCAAACATCACATTTAGTTTGTATAATTCAACTGGCAAAACAATTAATACAAAACAAACGTAAAGGTAATCTACAATGACTTGTATCATTTGGATATTTTTAAATCAACTTTTAATCGAGTTTACTCACCTCTGGAATTTCTCGCTGCAAAACATTCAGCAGTCGAAGTAAAAGTAAAACAAGACAGATAAGGACAGATTAGGTTACTAAAAAAAAAAAACGGGAAACCAGCAGCCACGAAGTATTTCTAGGAAACCCTTATCAGAAGCTCAAATATTTCAAAGATATTCAAATTTACAAGTGTTGTCCTATTTACAAACACCTGTTTTTGTATTTTATTTCATGGAGTTTAGCGGAGATTGTAACGTTTATGACCTTTTTTTATTGGCTCGGAACTCTGTCACTCACAGCAGTCCTGCTCTGATGGTAGTTTGATTGGCTGTAACACAAGGACGATTCTTGATTGGGAAATAATGAAGCTTTTATCTTCTCTGCTTTTCTGTTATGATTTTTCTGTTTTGATTGGTTATTTTTGCTTGCTTGTCAGATCACTTTGTAAATGTTTTACGTAATTTTATAAATGACATTATCATAATTTTCATAGTAGTAGAATTTTTATGCAAAAACTGACTTCATTTAAATCAAGTCATAAAACATGTAGTTATAAAAAAATATATATAAGACGCAGTAGTATGGAAAACTTGAACAGTACACAACAGATATGTCAGCATGTAAAATTGTGATTATTTTTCTTTATATATGTTCTTTGTTTAGTATCTGTCATTTTGCTGCAGACAAAAGATCAAAACTGGATCTTCAACAATAAAGACAGCAACAAGCTGTTCAAATATTTCATCTCTTTATTCCAAAAAAAAGAGAAAAGAAAAAGAAAAAAGACATCTGCAAAACTGGTGATAATGAACAAATAGCATTAAGATTTTAGAAACAATAAAAACATGTTGACCAAATCAGTAGCTCAATGTGTCAACTGGTGTACAGTTTTTTAACATATTTATGATATATATATATATATATATATATATATATATATATATATATATATATATATACATAAAAAAATCATCAAAGTGAAATAAATCATCTGTTTTGTATGATTAAAAAAAAACAAGACTCTACAGTGGACCTAAAGTATCCTTGAAGATCTAATACAAAATTATTTTATTGTTTGATTGTACATTATTCGATCATTGATATAACTATATTTATGGTTCAAAATAGAAAAAAAAAACTATGTTTGCTGTTTTTACACTAAAAGACAATTAAAACCTGAACTAGTTTAGAAATGTCTATAATGATAAATAATGACAGATCTGATAGTTCTGTTCGTTCAGTGCAACAATGTGAAAAACACAGTATACCACAGATGATGACTTTTTTCACCTGCAGCTGGAGTCCCGACTCTTGTTGTCGAACATCATTTTGGAGAAGGAAACAAGGCAGACTAGGAAAGCTTACTACTGCTAGCTGCTTAGCTTCCTGGTTCCTCCACTAAAGTAGCAGCTCCTTTTCAGCCCCCTTACTTTCGGTGTGTTTTATTAAACATGTTGTGTAAACACTTATATTGTCATCATGCATCTATGAGTGGATTTTGTATTTAGAACATCTGTCTCTGTTTTTGCTTCACATTTACTATCTTTGCCATGATTTCATTTCTTCTGATTTCTGCTTTGGTCAGCTGGCTTCCTGTTTGGCTATCGAGTTGTTCCACTGTTTTACCAACAGTGTTTGGCCATCCTCAGGGATCCCCCAGCATGTAAAGATCTCTGGTCAAATATAATGAACATGTTTAGAATTGGGCGGCACAGTGGTGTAGTGGTTAGCACTGTCGCCTCACAGCAAGAAGGTCCTGGGTTCAAATTCGGGTCAGTCCGTTTCTGTTTTGAGTTTGCATGTTCTCCCTGTGTCTGCGTGGGTTTACTCCAGGTATTCCAGTTTCCTCCCACATGGAGGATGGATGGTTGTTCGTCTCTATATGTCAGCCCTGCGATGAACTAGGGACTTGTCCAGGCTTTCCCCTGCTTTCGCCCGAAGATGTTGGGATTGGCTCCAGCCCCCCCACAACCCCGGGAACGGGAATAAGCGGTAGAAAATGGATGGACGTTAAGTATTTACAATTCTAAATCAGGGAGGCTCTGATCATCTTGGGAGAGAAGAAAAGTCACTTTTTACACACCTCACACCACAGGATAGTTATTTTACTGTGTTTTTCCATGTTTTACGTTGATAAAGCACTTTTTATGGTCTATGGTTACAGCAAGTTTGTGCAGCAGTTAAGGCAATCACTTAGCTTTAGTTTTGAAAAAGTTTTTGATGCGTGTCCACCATGTTTTATCAGCTTTAGTCACAAGTTTCTTGAACAGCTGGTCTATTTCTTTTTCATGCTTTTTCTGCAGATTTTCTTTTTCCTCCTCATTTTTCTGCTCTTTCATTTCTTCTTCCTGTCTTCTCAGTAACTCACTGATTTCTTTCAGGCTGTTCATATTGGCCACGATTTTCAGTATGTCACAGATTTGGTCCAGGTGATTTTTCCTTCTTTGTTCATTACGGGCTGAAAGTGCTTTTAAGATGTCAAACTGCTCATCTCTGCTTTGAATCTGTTTCTCATACTCTTCCTTCAGAGCTGCATGTTCTCTTCTGTGTTTGTCTATGAAGTCATTGAACTCTTCAGCTTTCTCTCTGGCTTCATCATTAAATGTCTTCTTCAGATTCTCAATTTCTTTTTTATATTTCTCCTCAATGGCCTCTTTTTCTTGTCTTTCTTGTTCTCTTCTGATCCTGTCCTCTTCCTTCTTTTCCTTTTCATATTTTTCTCTCTCCTGTTCATATTCTTTTTGTTTTTGGAGTCTTATTTCTTCTTTTTGTCGTCTCTGTTCCTCTTCCTGATTTCGTTTATCCCACCATTCTGTCTGTTGTTTCTCAAACCTCTCTCTTTCTTTATTCATCCTTTCTCTGCTCTCCTCCAGCTGTCTGTCAATGTTTTCTTTTTCTTCTGATTCTGACTTTATCTTTTTCTCCAGAGCTTGAAGTTTCTGTTCCCACTCCTGTCGTTGAGATTCTTCCTGTTCTCTCCTCTTCCTGTCTTCTTCTTCTCTCATTTTCCTTTCTTCACATCTGCGCTCTTGTTCCTTCTTGATGATTTCCTCTTTTTCTTGCAGTTCTTTTTCTCTCAGTTTTCTTTCCTTTTCGATTTCTTCTCTCTGTTGTCTCTTTTGCTTTTCTTCTTGTTCCTGCCTTTTTAAATCTTCTTTTCTTTCCTTTTCATATTTTTCTCTCTCCTGTTCATATTCTTTTTGAAGTTCTTGAAGTCTTGTTTGTTCTTTTTGTCGTCTCTGTTCCTCTTCTTGATTTTGTTTTTCCCACCATTCTGTCTGTTTCTTCACCAACCTCTCTCTTTCTTTATTCATCCTTTCTCTGGTCTCATCCAGCTGTCTGTCAATGTTTTCTTTTTCTTCTGATTCTGACTTTATCTTTTTCTCCAAAGCTTGAAGTTTCTGTTCCCACTCCTGTTGTTGAGATTCTTCCTGTTCTCTCCTCTTCCTGTCTTCTTCTTCTCTCATTTTCCTTTCTTCACATCTGCGCTCTTGTTCCTTCTTGATGATTTCCTCTTTTTCTTGCAGTTCTTTTTCTCTGTTTTCTTTCCTTTTCGATTTCTTCTCTCTGTTGTCTCTTTTGCTTTTCTTCTTGTTCCTGCCTTTTTAAATCTTCTTCTTTTCTTTCATTTTCATATTTTTCTCTCTCCTGTTCATATTCTTTTTGGAGTTCTTGTAGTCTTGTTTGTTCTTTTTGTCGTCTCTGTTCCTCTTCCTGATTTCGTCTTTCCCACCATTCTGTCTGTTGTTTCACCAACCTCGCTCTTTCTTTATTCATCCATTTTCTGGTCTCCTCCAGCTCTCTGTTTATGTTTTCTTTTTCTTTAGTTTCTGACTTTATCTTTTTCTCCAGAGCTTGAAGTTTCTGTTCCCACTCCTGTCGTTGAGATTCTTCCTGTTCTCTCCTTTTCCTGTCTTCTTCTTCTCTCATTTTCCTGTCTTCACATCTGCTCTCTTGTTCCTTCTTGATGGTTTCCTCTTTTTCTTGCAGTTCTTTTTCTCTCAGTCTTCTTTCTTCTTCTGTTTCATCTCTTTGTTTTTCCATATTTTTTTCCATTTCTTTTATTTCCTGCTCATGTTGTCTTTGAAGTTCCTCCTTCTCTTTCTTCATCTCTTCTTCCTTCTCTTTAAGGGTCCTCTTCATTTTTTTCTTTATAGCAGTTTCAGCTTCTTGCAGTATCTCGTTGGTGAAGCAGCTGCCTCCGTTTGTCTTCACCATTGTGTCAATCTTTGCTATCAGCTCACTGACCTGCTCTCTGTTTTGTTCCTCATAGTTGTTGAACACGTGGTATCTTCCTCCACAGTCAGCGATCAGTTTCTTAAAGGAATCGTCACAATTCTGATCAATAAATTCCTCAGCTGACATTTTGTTACGTTTTAGTGAATCTGCTCCAGTTAGAAGGATGATGATGAATTTTTCTGCATCCTTTCCGAATCCTTCTTTGATCAGTTTTATCGTCTCCTTTTCCTCAGGTGTAAATCGGCCGATGTGTAACACCAACAGAAAGACATGTGGTCCTGGAGCCAGAAGATTGATGCATTTGATCATCTCCTCATGAACCTCTTCATGGGACAAGCTGTCATCAAACAGACCTGGAGTGTCGACCACAGCAACAGAGTGACCGTCCACTTCACCATGTACTTTCTTACAGAATTTGGTGACTGAATTTTGGCTTGGTTTAGCCTCAAACTCTTCTCTTCCTAGGATGGTGTTTCCTGAAGAGCTCTTTCCACTGCCAGTCTTCCCTATCAGCACAATCCTGAGACTCTCTGGGCTCTGCTTTTCATCACCTGTGGAATAAGGAGGGCCAAGAGTTACCTTTAAATGCTGACAGATGCAACAGTAAAGACACTAATGTGTCACATCCTTAAACTCAAGTAGTATTTATAATCATCTTTTTCAATACTTACAATCGGGCATCCCTTTTGTTTTCACATCCTGAAGTTCAGCCTGCAGTTTGCTGATCTTCTCTATTTGGGCAGATGCAAATGTGTCTGTTGTGTAGCTTGGTGGTTTGTCTTTCTTATTTTGCATCTTTTCCCCCATATCCAACAGCTGTTTGACATGCGTTTTGTCCTTAGTGTCGAGCACCAAGAACCTTTCTTCACAGCTCTGAATGAGCTCCTGAACTTCCTTGCTTTGGTCTATAAAGTTAACAACAGCTGGAGCTGAAGGATCTGACTCCACAGTGAGCAGAATCATGGTGAAGTCATTGACTGGAGGTCCAAATGTGTCCTGGATGGTCTTTAACTCTCCCTTGTCTTCATCACTGAGTGGACCCACAGGTAGGACCAGGATAAAGGCATGAACACCTTCAGGATCACAGAGGGAGACACTTCTGAGTGACTGCTCCATCACAGTCTCCAGAGGGTTTTGATACAAAACAGGAAGCTCCACCAGAGACACCCGGCATCCACACACCTCCCCCTGATGTTTCACACACTCTGATGAGCTGGAGGCTGAATGAAGACCTGTCTGACCTAAAATGACCTCTGCTGCTGAAGTCTTCCCTGCTCCTCTCCTCCCACACAGGACCAGGTTTAATGCTGGTTTCATCTCTTTGGACTTCAGTGTGATCAGTTCATCAGTCAGAGTGAGGGAGGCTCCTCTGTTCTCACTACAGATGCTCATGATCTTCATCATCAGTGACCTGTGGTTGTCTTCAGCCATGCTGTAATGTCTTTCTCTGCAGTCTTTAAGTAGATGTCTAAAAGAGTTGCTTGCTTCTCCTTCCTCATCTGTGCTGATGACCACTGAATGTTTAAAAGCATCTTGCTCAAACAAACTAAGGATCAACTTCAGGGTTTGTCTGTTCTCCTCAGTGAAATCAGAAGGTTTCAGCAACAGCAGCAGAACATTTGGTCCTGGAGGACAGAGACTCACAGCGTTCTTCAGCACCTCCACAGACAGGCTGAAAATGTCTGGAGTTTTCACTACTGTTAAAGCCTGTCCTTCCCACTCTCCAGTCTCCACCATTTGTTTGGTTACTAGAGGTTTTGTCAGATGGTGTGCCAAGTCTCGTTTCTTTTGGGTGATGAAGTTACAAAGTTTTGTTTTCTTGTCATCGTTATTCCCCAGCAACAAAAGTCGGACTGTAACAAAACAGAAACATGTAACGGAGAAACAGTGAGTTGTGAGGGATTATTTTACCAATTTATTTATAATCATTATCAATTTTTTTTTATATATATTTAAATTTATACATACTGGAGGGAGAAACATCTTGCATGATACCAGGTCTTGCTTCTGCTTGTTGTGTGATCTGTAAATCAGCAGTGGTGTCGATGAACACATCACAGCTGACATGCTCTCCTCTGTTCTCCTTCATGATTTGACCCAAACGTGTCAACAGCTCTGGAAGTTCAAGGCCTGTCTGATCTAAGTACCTGTACCTACACTCTCTGATCATGTCTTTGAGGGGTGGATACTGCAGATATTGTCCTCTGACATCTGAGCCCTGCTCTCTTGGTGGTGATATCAGTATCAATGAATGATCAAATGATAGATCACCGAAGCGTTCAAGGACTGTGCAGAGTCTCTGTTTGTGTTCCTCAGTGAAGTCCCCAGGCTGTAAAACCAGCAAGAACACATGAGGTCCAGGATCAGAGAGTCTCACACAGTCTGTCACATTTTTTGTCAGTTTTTCTTCAGAGATGTTGGGATGGATCAGCTCTGGAGTGTTGATGAGAACTATGTCTTTGTCCTTTATTCAACCTTTTTCTTTCAAACAGTCACCACACTCCTCTTTGTTGGACACACTCTCTCCCAGTATGAAGTTCCTCACTGAGCTCCTCCTAGACTCGCTGTTGTCCAGCAGAACAACCCTCAGCTCAGACACTGTGAGAAACAAGGATATAGAAAAGATTGACTTGTACCTGCATTGACTTATAACTTTGTTCTTCTTTTATTTCAAATGTTTGATTATCTACTCAGAGCTTTTAATCACAGATTCTCAGGGATAGAAGTTTCACTCACTGTCAGGTGGCAAAAATTCATAGCTGCTGCTTTTTCTCAGAGGGAATGGACCACCTAAAATCAGAAAGACAAATATGGATATGGGTGATCAAAGTTTCTCATTGTAATCATTACAGTTATTAAAGCTCCAGTGAAGAGTTTTGAACCAATTGTGAAACTCACTGACATGAATACTAAAGCCTCTCAATGACCTACAAAAGCCAATAAGACCATCTGCAACATGTTCAGTATCATTTATAATGTACATTTCAATGTCTAAAACAGAGAAGATTGTCAGCCAGCTGGAGAAAAAGCATTTCTTTGAAATTTTGAAAGAGTAAATATCTGTAATGAATGACATATTTGATTACTGAGAAAAGTGGGGTTCGATTCATTTTGAAGAAATGTCTCTTTGGCATTTCCGGAATAAAATCAGTTCAGTAATAAAATGTAAATCTTTGACCACTGGGGTTGAAAAACTTGACACAGACCAAACATGGCTCACAGAAGTTTTAACATACATTAACCTCTTGTACATTTAATATAACATGAATTGATATGTTTGATTCAAACATTAGTTTTAAGCCACATTTCTCTCAAACAGATCTTTTTCTATACCACTAAGTAAGACCTCCTTTTCTTGTGCTCCTCTCTCATGTGGAGCCTCTCAAGAGTCTATCCCAGGCCCCCTTTTAATCACTGAAAACATGCTCCCCTGGGGCATGGTGTAAACTTTCACTGCTGTGCAGATGATACTCAGCTCTATGCCCTGCAAACATCTGGCACCACAGATGTGTCTCACATTATGTCCTGAACAATTTCTGCAGCTGAATGACTCCAAATCTACAGTTATTGTCTTTAACTGTTGAGATTCTTCCTGTTCTCTCCTCTTCCTGTCTTCTTCTTCCCTCATTTTCCTTTCTTCACATCTGCTCTCTTGTTCCTTCTTGATGATTTCCTCTTTTTCTTGCAGCTCATTTTCTCTCTGTTTTCTTTCTTCTTCTGTATCATCTCTTTGTTTTTCCATCTTTTTTTCCTTTTCTTTTATTTCCTGCTCATGTTTTCTTTGAAGTTCCTCCTTCTCTTTCTTCATCTCTTCTTCCTTCTCTTTAAGGGTCCTCTCCATTTCTTTCTTTATAGCAGTTTCAGCTTCTTGCAGCATCTCGTTGGTGAAGCAGCTGCCTCCGTTTGTCTTCACCATTGTGTCAATCTTTGCTATCAGCTCACTGACCTGCTCTCTGTTTTGTTCCTCACAGTTGTTGAACACGTGGTACCTTCCTCCACAGTCAGCGATTCAGTTTCTTAATAGACTGTTGCGTTTGCTGTTTGTCTCCACAGCAGTGAAACTCTCTGCCTGAGGATGTTAGACAAACTCAGTGTCCTCTTTTAGATCTCTTAAATCCTGTTTGTTATAATTGTCTGTAGCCTTAAGCTATTTTTTAAGTATTGGATCTTATTTATTTGTAATCTGTCATAATTAGTTATGTGTTTGAATTTTTAATCAAATTCCCCTCCTCACACTCCCCCTCCTCCCATTTGTTGATTGAAATGACAACATTGATTGTTTTATCCATGTTGTTTGCCTTTTTCTTTGCTTATTTTTTTCTTGTTGGGGGGAGGGGGGGCAATCCCCTCCTCCGAAATGCCAACATTGATTCAAATAATTGTCAGCAGGACAATCCCAACAAGAATAACAATAATAATAATAATAACAATAATAATAATAATAATTTTACATTTCATTTATATTGCAATTCATGTTTGAAACATCTCAAAGTGTGATGAAGTAGTTGGTTCCCTCCCCATTCATTCTCTGAAGACTGGGTGAGAGCATTTTATAGGCGGGGGTGTTGCATTAATGCATTTTAAATTAAGGACTAAATTCTCAATACCTTGAAGACAATGGGTTGTGATTTTGCTTTAAATAGTCTTCTGACGGTTTATGCATAATTTGTAATCACAAAAATATAAGTTACCCTCAGAGGAGATTCAAGAGCATTCCAAAATACCCCGATTAAAACTTAGTGGTATGTCCCAACCAATTTCCTCTCTCTCTCTGAGGAATCTACTCAAGCCTGAGGAACAACAAAATACAGTGGTGAAAGCCCTTATGCAATATTTGTGGGACACAGGCCTGTACCATAAGGTGTAAGGCCACAGTATAAATCTGTCTAATTCCTAGCACGGACTGTGGGAGGCAGCAATATGCCAACGGGCGTCTAGACTGCCGAAAAGCCAAAAGAAGAAGAAGAAGAATTTCCTCTCTGTTGCTGTGTCCGAATTGCCCGCTCGGATACTACATGCTACTGCTACATACTACTGCTAGATCCTACTCCTACATACTAAACACGTTGGCCCAATTCGGACACACTAGACGAGCGGTGGGGAAAGACGACCCCCGCAAGCAGAGAGTAGGTACTGCGCCCGTGCAGACAGTGGTAACTGAAGCCCCTCATCTGCGGGCCTGGCTGTAGTACTGCAGCTGTGCAGTTTAATGATGGAATAAGTGAGCTTTACCTCCATGATGTCGCCACATATTTGCTCATAAAATGATTACTTGGGCAAATATGACACCATGACATGACAAAGAGATACAACCGCACATTTTTAGAACAGTGTGTGAAGTTACATGAAACTCACATCTGTACTGCTGCGGTCCCGCCTGCTGCTGCTCCGACATGGTGCGCGCTGCTGTGGCCAGCCGGCGTTCGCGACGCATCTATGCTGGTGGCGCTAGCATCACATGCGCTTCTACAACTTTTAAGAGGACGAAGAAGAAGCCCGCGGTGCATTTTGGGTCAGTAGCATGCCCGTAGGATGCACCGCGACCAACCTACAATGCGGGCGTGTCTAGTATCTGAAGTAGTATCTGAAGTAGCATGCTACTCGCTCCGGTGACCAATTCGGACATGCTAGATACTACTTCGACTACTACTTGGCAATTCGGACGCAGCGTCAGTCTCCTCTCCTGCCGGTGTTATGCCGTAGACTGCATCAATCACTCCTCCGACCTTCTATGCCTGTCTTGCACAGTAAGTTTGACATATTTCTTTTATCTTAACTGTTTTCAGTGAAGCAAACAAGCTTTGTTTTGTGCTCATGCTTGATGTCCTTAGCCTGGCTGGGTCATCCTGTTGCGTGAATCACTTGCCGTTCCTTCCCACAACAGTCTGGACTTCGGCCCATTGGGAGCATGTATTAGCGATCAGAAAATAACCGAGCCAATCAGTGACTGTGTTCATTCACAACGCCGTTAATTCTGCAGTTGACTTTGCAAAGTCGGCAGAAATCGTTTAGATTCGCAGAAGACGTAGGATATAAATGATTTCTGCCGACTTTGCAAAGTCAACTGCAGAATTTACAGCGTTCTGAATGAACAGAGCTTTGAAAAGTCCCGCAGCATGTGTTAGACGTCACCATCTACACATGACCAATTAGGGCAGGGGTGGGGAACCATGTGCCATGGTGAGCCAAGAGGCTGCAGGTTTTCTTTCCAACCCAAAACTCCACCAGGTGATTTCACTGATCAGTGAAACGGACATGTTTGTAGTCTTTGGGAATAGACACTGATGTGTCTTTGAACACATAGTTGTAACGTGTGTGTGTGCCAGTTGAAATCCTTATTTATCAGCACTCCCAGGTACTTATAGGAGGAGACTTGTTTGATGTTATGGTCATGAACAGTATTCTTGTTATCTTGTCTTTCAGCTGCTGCTCGATAGTTTGATTACAAAATGAGCCAGAAGCACTCCGCAGATACGGACAAGTCTTGTTGCGTTTTGCACCAAACCGACAGGGAGGCATCCCAAGAAATGCTCTGGAGCAGCAGGGAGCTGTTCCAAGAAGTCCCGATGCATGTGGCAAATGACATTTTCTACTAATTTTCTACATTTTCTACATTTCTACTACTCTGGACTACTCTGGACTTTTTCTTTAGGCTACGTTATCGGCAATTGTCATTGCCTTGATGTTCAATAAATTTTAAGTTTAAAATCATGTTGTCTGTCTTTATTTTTAAATTCATTTTTAATATTTATTTTCACATTTTAGGAAAAGGTAATTTTGAACAAGCTATTAAGATGTAGTCTTTAAGTATATCAGCATACACATAATTTAACATGTACATGCAGATTACCATTAGATTGTTGGATGATCAGGATCAATATTGAATCATAACATGATTCAATAAATCAATTTATGTACATGTAGGTTTCTATTTAGATGATGGTTGAATCAGTGTTGATTCCTGATGTTGATTCAACATAAAATCAACTAAAATGTGCACACAGATTACCATTTAGATGATGGTTGAATCAGTGTTGATATAGTGTCAGTTAGTGGTTGAAAACCCAACGTTGAATCAAGAGGGAATGCCTTTGCACTTTCTGTACAATTTCTACGTTGGGTTTCAACGTAGATTCAATCATTCTGCCTAACTATCTTTCAATGTTGATCTAACCCTATTTTGCTATCTGGGTACTCATTCGATAGTGTTTCCTCAGTTTTTCAGCTCAAGTCTTAATTCAGTAACTTATTCTTAACATGTTCTTTAAATTGTGTATGGATCATTAAGTGGAAATGTTTTTGTATCTTTTTTTTTCTAGTATTGTCTGTTTTAGCTTGTGTTAACGCAGTCTCACTCAAAACCGTGAAATACCTACATTGGTCCACTGCGCAATCCGTAGCTATTTCACAAAAACGGCTCAGATATTGTGCATATACTGTATATAGAATGGACGCCGTCTACCTCTTCGCTGGGTGAAGCCACTCCGCGAACAGCACCCTCTGTTGACAGGCTGCAGAATAGGTCATAAATCCCGCCTCCGCCAGTAAAGCTTACAGAGCTGTGGACAAACTTTAGAAATTTATGACACAGAATATAAATTGTTCTCCCCCCTGCTTGTGATGTTGACATGTAGTTACAGTAAGACTGTTTTTGTGCTCAAGTCCTCTTTTTTCTGTGCAGCTCTGTTTTTAAAAACTATTAGAGTGTTCATGTTTTCTATGATTGACACCTGATACAGCCTATGGGCGTACAAAGACTGTGTAGTTCACCCGGGGGATACGCTGTTTGAGCCGAGCGTCATCACAGCGACTCTCCCGCCGAATGCGTGCAATGCTACTGCACAAGTGGTGGAGTGCGTACAACGCTACAACGCTTCTGCGCAGTGTTGGTTTCAGGAATTGGAGTGAAAACGTGGAATTACCGAGAGTTTTTCAGCTTGAAATCCGTATACTGGTGGAAGGCGGAACCAACTTGTCCATAGTATATACAGTCCATGTCTGATATTGTGGCTTGGGTACGTTTCATCTGTCCAGTCTTTTCTGCGGGCAGACTTCAGCTCACGTGACTGCCATGTTTCTCCCTGCGTTACCAAAAAACATGGAGGACATCCTCTCTATTTTCAGTGGAAATTGCTGTATTTATTTGGCTTTAGCTCCCTTTTTTATAACTTTTCTCGCGACAAATGTACACTTTGGTTTCATAGTATCTGTTCGATTTATCTTATTGATCCCTGGTTCTTTCGTTTCATCGTACTTTATTTCATCTTTCTCCATGAAATTGTAGCGATAGTGCATTTTTGTTGTTGCTATGGTGGTAGCTATGGACGCTATCAGTGACGAACCGGAGAGGAGTTGATGCGCGTCACGGACCGAGGTGCTCTTAAAATATTTGTCAAACTTACATTTGACCACAAATACATTTCTATACATTAAATAATGAGTTCTGTTTGATTTTTACAGCATAACTAAATCTTTAAAAAATTAATGAAAAAGATTAAAGCATTTTAGCCACAATACAAACCATAGAATGGAACAATATTTGTATTATAATGCCGTTCATACAATAAATTATTTCTGTAACTTTATTTAATAAGGTAAACCTAAAAAGTTAATACCATCTTTTAAAACAGGTTTTTATTAGATCACAAAGTATGATCCTATAAAATAATTAATGGCTGCTTAATTTTTCTTTATGTATTATACTGGTGGTTTTATGTCATTTCTTTTCATGGTTCTTCTTTTATCTTTTTTTTCCCCCTCAATTCAGATGTGTGTATTCATACTGCTACTAGAACAATTTTGTTCAACAGCACACACACCCGCACGTACACACATCAAAACTTGGGGCCCTTTCTTATGCACTTTAGTTTGACCTACAATCCCCAGACATCTAGCAGTTGTGGATGACATCAAACC